AGCAAAACACGTTTTAATGTACCCGGTCACTCCCACTTGAGCGCCCAAAATCCTGGGCCGTTCCAGTTAGGTGGTTCAATCCGTTCCAGTGCCTAGGTGGTTCTACATCCCTAGGCGAAAGTTGATCCGCGTCGTTTGGCTGCTCCTTTGGCCGATTTGGCCAGAAGCGAGGCCTATGAGGAGGAGCTCATGCAGGAGGCGCCCAGGTTTTCCTCGTGATCGAAATCCAGCGCGGATTTGGGGGGGGTTGCTTTTAAATCAGTTTCTTTACAAGGGAAAGCAAAGGGGAACCGCCATTGTGGGGCCCTATGTTTTTTAAGCTCCCATGAAGTGTAAGCTTCGTGCCGCCACTCAGGGAAGGAGCTCCGGCGTCTCAGGAATGAGCCGTTTTGGGCATTCTTTTCAAGGTTTGTTTGGCGTATTTTGCAGGAAAGCCTGCTGTATCCAGGTGGTTGGCCCAACCGGTTCTGTGGATTCTGCCCTTGTTCAACTCCTTCTCGTTTGATGGGGTAGGGAACCATTGAGCATGAGATCAATACGAGAAGGGCTCTACTTTTTTTGTAATGGTCACGCGGCAACACGGTGAAACACTGTCCATGTTTGAGGGGATACTAGGTTGAGTGAAGCTCGGAATCTCCTTAGGAAAGCACATAGTCAGATTGCTTTGTTTATTCATGTACTGATATAGCCCTTCCAAACAGGTGCCCTTTATTCGGTAAAATTGGTTGCAAATGGCTCCACTGGTTGCAGCTTGACTCTAATCGTTCTCCAGTGCTGTCGGTGTTCCTTCCAAAATGACCCCTGGAGACAGTCTGGTTGGAAAAAAGACATGGGGAACTTCAATGTCCTTGGTATGTTTACCTGTCAAGCTGTCACACTTAAAGCATGTTCTGGCCAGTCAACTGAGCAGTTCAGCATGTGTTGTGCATGTTGAGTGAGAGCTGCAAACAAGCAAAGCTTTCTGCTGACTTACCAGGAGCATCAAAAGGTGGGGACTCATGTCAGAAAGAGCACCTCGTCAAGGAGCTTTTGCAACTTGTTTTCACACGAGCCGAACTTGGAGAAGACTTGCTACTTTTTGCTTGGGAACACGTGGACATTCGAAGTGGCCCAGGTTGCCAGATTCCATCAGCTGCCAAAGCAATAGAGCCTAATGTCAGCAAACTTGCGGGCTCCCCTCGTGCCAATCGAATCCTTCCAAATGCAAAGAATGAGGCATAGCAGAGCAACCTTGTTCACACGATTCCCCAAAGCCCGCACCAGAAAACCCAGCCCAGTCGCACCCCTTTCTCCTTCTTTTTGGCAAGAGCTTCCCTTGCACCTTGCCCCCCGGTATGGATTTATGAAGGATTGTCAAACCTCCTGGATGGCCTTTTGTGCCCTCCGTGTTGGTGTTCAGGCGCTTGGTGTATCTTATGATCTTGGAAGACACTTCTTCTGCCCTAAGGGTCCTGATGGATGTTGGGTCTCCCAAACCGCTTGTTTTGAGACCCCCAAAGCAACGCGGGGTGCGGGGACTGTCGAGTTCATGCCTCGAGAGGCCTTGGGGCTGAAGCCAAAGAAGTTGCTTCTGGCCAAGAAACAGATGTCCGAGGACCTGAGGGATTGGGCCTTTGGCCCATGTCTCAATGCCACACTTGGGAGACTGAACGGGGCGTCTTCTACAACCAACCTGTTCTACACTTCTCTTGTGTATATAATTGTTCGATGGCACCGTTTTTGCAGGGGAAAAAAGGCGGGGTCTCGGTGTTTTCCCTGTTTGAGTCACCTGAGGTTGCATTTATTAGGCTGATTCTCGACTTGTTAGGGATGTGAGGCAACCCTGGCAGGGGATGTTTAATGTCAGAGTTGTTTTGTATGTTGTTATTTGTTTGTTGTAAAAAAACAACAACCAAACATAATATATTAATTTGAAATTTGACCAGCTCAATAATTGCGCGTGCTTTCGAACGTGTCCAACGTTTTAAAGCTTCAGCCCTTTCAGTAGGATTGTCAAGTCTGGTCGGGACTCAGAAGCATCATGGGTCAGCGTCGCGTAGCGATTGAAAAAATGACAGAACAAAACAAAGTCAAGCTTGTTGTTTGGTGAGGAGGGCTTTCTCCAACCTCATCGGGAATGAGATAGGTCCCTTTCAGCCATGGCCTTGATTTGGGAGAAACGGAAAGAAGACATCGAGCGCCATTTGGTTTCGGAGAAGACTTGGAAGGGGGGAGAGGGGGGCATTACCAAATAGTCACCTCTGGCTGCACTTCCATTGTTTGTGTGTTTACAAATAACATATAATTAAACCCAAGACCAAGGAATGGGTTTACATCAATGTAAACAAGAAAAACACCACCTTTTCAGGGTTTCTTGTGGGAGAACGTCAAACTCAGAGGCTTGAAGCATCAAACTGACTGGGAAATGGCAGTTTACCAAATGTCAGGGACCCAATGCGTGCCACGGCTAGCTGATGCCATCGACGCTATGCCCTTCTCTAGTATCCATTTGGAAAAGGGTATGAGTTGAGAACGGATTCCGAGTGCCTCTTGGCGGTCCGTCATATTGCCGCAAGAAGGCCAAGCAGGACAACCACGTAAGCCCCATTTGGAAAATATGGGGACCATAAAGAACAAAGTCGGCTGTGCAAAGCTTGGCCATCCCTGGGTAAACCTTTACTACGCCCCCCAAAAAAAAGCCGAAGGACACAGAGAACAACCATCTCACACCCTGAGTTGTCAGGAAGACAAGTTTAGTGGCAAGCGACAAGTTGGACTTGTTCTCACTAATCAACTCATTAAGTAAGGACATTCAGCCGTCTGGGTATGGGTCAAAATTAAACCACCAGGAATTGGAGCGCCTGCTTTAGTCCTTGCCATTTGCCGATCAGGCAACCCATTTTGGTGGTTGCACCCCATGGACCCGCCCATAGGCCACTTCCTCTCCGCTACCCCATGTCCTCTCCGGATTCCGGGGTCGACTTCCCCCGAAGGGGATCCACTGAAGGTCCGGGATTCGAGCCGCTCAGATCCTACCGGACCTCTCCCTCACCCAACAAAAAGAAAAGAGTCCCTGGGCTTTATCATTTTTGAGATGGCTGTTCCGGTGAACAAGCTTTGGCTACTTGTTTGGGCCAATCTACTTGTTTGGGCCAATATGTGATATTGCCAGACAGAGGGGGGACAGACATGCAGATTGGTTGGAGGAATGTTGGCGGAAGACATGCAAACGTTGATTAAACAGTATGTGAAACTGGGGACTCCTCAACACGGTGATTCCCTCTAGTTTCCCCTTTACAGCCACCCTGACTGGGTAAACCCTCAAAAGACAAACCCGTGAAACCCATATGGTTGTGGCTCTGTAAAGAATTGTTAATGAAACGGAATCTTGGTATTCGGAAACTAAGACGAATACCTGCATAACCCCAGCTGTTAGAATTTGAGACACACCCACATACTTTCAAGCACTGGACTCCATTTGTTTGCTTTCCCCTGCCGCAACCGGGGTGCTACTTGTTTTTGTCCGCAAGAAACTGCGCAGGAGGAGCTCAAGGACCTTCCGGGCGAGCGGCTTGGGTGCTCCAAGTGGTGGTCCTTTGACCCTTCGAAGTTGGGTTGGGTACCCTCAACCAGAAATGTAGGGATGTTGGCTCACTAAGGACTTTGACGACTTTTTGGCTGGCGCCAAAATCCGGTTCGTGGCTGAGAGTCGTGGTAATTTCCGTTGGCCTGCCATGGCAAAGTACCTGAGATCCGAAGACTGTCAATGATCCCAACGGGGGATTTGTGTCCTGAAATTTGAAGAGGGGCTTACTTTCTGTTTGGCACGCGTTTGCACGGTCCAGCCTGCCTGGGAGAAAGACGCGATTTGATCTAAGAATGTCCCTAGGGGAATCCTTACCTCAAGTTGGTGAAAGAAAGAGCTCATGCTTAAAAAAAAGAATGAGGACAAAAAACACCAGTCACCGAGTTGAGGCAAGGAGGAAACAAACTTGTGCATTAAATTATCATGATTGCTGAGATATCTTGTTAAGGGAGTTGTCCTTTTGAGATGCACTCAATATGGAGCATGATGACTGAACTAGCTTCTTTAGGGAGTTGTCATTTTGAGGTTCACTCAATATGGAGCATGATGACTGAAATAGCTTCTTTAGGGAGTTGTCCTTTTGAGGTGCAGTCAATATGGACCAGAATCAAATATGTTTTACTGAAATATCTTCTTTAGGGAGTTGTCCTTTTCAATTTGGACCAGAATCAAATATGTTTTTTGTTAGGCAAGAGCTGAGGTCCAACACATTGGCGCTGAGTGAAGAATCCACACCACCGCAGGGCTCAAGTCGAGCATTTGCTCGAGTTCGAGCTCTTGAGCCCCTGGTTTGCTTGGTTTCCTTTCAATGGCTGACGGTCTTCAAACGGAAGGTCTGGCATGTTACTTCTCAAGTCACTGCAAGGAGGTTACAGGGAAACAGCTCCAATGGCACATCATGGGCTCAGCGAGGCTCGAACACGTCACTTTCCTTGCAACATCTTCAACGGCCACGCTCCCACTGGGCGTTCTGCTTGTTCTGCTTGAGATGCTCCACCTGGTCTGCAAGAGGTGTCAATTTGTCCTCGCCATTGGCAAAGGATCAGCCCTTCACACCACATCCGAGCTGCGCGGACATAGCTCCAGCGTTTGCTCCGAACAGTTGTTTTTCAGTACCCAGTTCCCTTCTTCGTTGGTGTTCGCCACCAAAACGGGCAATCCCAAAGATGGCGCCAAGCATTTTCCTTTCTGCGGGGCTGGTTGCGTGGTTGCAGCTGCGCTGGGCAAACGAAAAGCTGCCCTCTCAAAAGGCGCAGATCCGCCTCAGCCTCACCCAAAACCTGGACAGAATTCAGTTGTTCAGTGGCACCAATTCTTTTACCCTTTTTAAAAAAGTGGCTGCCCCACTAAAAATGGTCCAAGCCCCAAAAAGGGTTCTCGTTCTTTTTTTTCTCCCGGCGTCGCTGAACCATTGAGCACATCGGCCGTTCAAGCCATGGGCCGCCTCTGGTTCGGGCTGATCTTCCTGGGGCTGGGTCCGAGCTTCGTCGAGCTGACGCAGCAGCTGCTGCACTTCGCCAAAGACCGCCAGGCGCAGGGGGGAAAACGGGGCGGGTGGGAGGGGGGGGGAGGAAGTTGCGGGCAGAAGGTTGGGCCAATTCAAAGAGGAGACTGGGTGTTCGGTTTCTTTCAGCGATATTTGAGGGGAATCACTAGTCATAGGGATGGGAATCCCACTTTGGCATCAAAGAAAAGGGTTATTTTCCACAACCGTGGCGAGGCGTGGCAGTCATTTGCCGGAATCGGGCACGTCAGGAAAGTGGGTCGTCGCCTTGGTGGTTTCCCGGCAATGAGCCGAAATTTGTGCACATGTACAAGGCGTTCATGCCATGGGGTTCATATGATGGACATCGCATGGCTGCGGGTACCCAAAATGGAACCCTGGTAAATGAAAACACGGCCAGCCTGCGGTCCCCTTGCTGAATTTTGAGCACCCACAGATCTGTCAGAGCCGTGCCTTCTATTGGGCCGGTCCTCGCCTCGCAGGTCACCCAAAAGGAGCTGGAAGCAAAGCAGCTGCTGCTGCGGCGAGTGAAGGGGGTGGCAAATCGGATTTGCAAGCTGCAGGGCCGAGACGGCGGTGGCTTCCGCATGCAAGTCACGCCCTTCGGATCCTTGGTCGCTGGTGTCCCAAGTGATCTGCCAATTCTGTGGTGAGCGATTCCACCGATTCGCGAAATTTCGGGATGTGGGCCCTCTACTTCACAACAACGTGTTACCTTTTTTAGAATGGCTGTACAAGTTGCAGAGAAGTATACTTTGTGGAAAAGCAGCTTGGCCTTGACTCTGGACGTCTGGCGCCAGCATCCTTAAAGGTTCCTTCGACCAGCCGCCAACATATCGCACAAAAAGCATTTATTTTCGGTGCTCGCCCGAGCACTAAAATACCCCGCACACACACATGACTCCAAAATGTCAACGTTCATTAACGATTTGGCTCGTTCGGGCAAGTTATGTCACCTGAGCGAGCTTAAACTTGAGTTTCAATCAAAAGTTGAGCAGCAGGACTGTGAAAACGGCAGTTTCGCAGCCCTTTCGGCAAGTCCGTTTTGGTGAACTCTGCTTATGCCAGACTCCCGGGAAGAAAACACAAAGAACACAAGCGTTCTCCCTCAACAAACCCGCGACTTCCAAGTTGGCGGCCAAGGTGGATGGGGCTTTCATTGTGAGTGTTCCGCTGCTGGCTGATTCTATGTTAGTATCCCATCGTTTGTCGAACATGTAAAGCAAGCTGAATACAGTAAACTGCGCAGAGCGACATTTATAGGACTCACCTGCAATACGTCCCTTGTGCACGGGCATCGTCACCAAGTGTTAGGTTGGACCAGCGGCTTTGAACCTGTGACGTTTCCCAATTGGTCTCCCCAGTCCCATAGTGACAGGCTCAACTGCCGTTAACTGGGTTTGGGCGTGTGGGGGGGGTCCCATGAAAGGAGTTAGGGCGAATGTTCCGTTGTTGGGACTCTTTCTGTGTGGTCTTTCTTCCTTTTATTCCTTCCTTGTGCTTGTTCCGTTGTTTGCCATTTGTTACGTTCATGATGTGTTCCTTTTTTGTGTTGTTCGGGTTGCGTTCCGTTCTTTCTGATCTTTTTTTCTTGTTTCATTTGTTAGCATCAAACAAAACTGGGGTTTCTCGAATTTTATGGTAGGTTGACCAAATACGACACAGAATCCAAAAACATGTTTGGTTCACCCAAGAAAAGATGATTCCCCTCTGGCGGGTAAGGATCCTCCGTCACGGGTTGCGGGGAGAGTGGGGCGGACGTGGATGCAGTGCTACACGCAAACGTGTCCATGGGCAAGAGGAAGCTCAGTCGCAACCGTCAGTCTGCAACTCTCGAGGATTGTTTGGGCGGCTGTCCCAAAAGCGCGCTGTGGACCTTGTTGCTTGCCCATGTTTTAATCCCCTGGGTCCAACATGTGGACCTTCTCCTACTCGGAAGCGTGTCTGGGGTGCAAAATGTGAAGCTCGTTGCAGGTGTTTCACAAGTTGGGCCCAAAGAGTTCCGACCTTGAGGTCTTGATGAGTTTTGGAAACCCCAATTTACTTGGTGGCTCCAGCCATCCACTTAGCTTTGTAGCCTTTTAGTGTTTAGTGGTAGTTTCCATTTAACCCACGAAAAGTTAAACTTTTAGCGGGGCATCTGAGGGCAGCCCAGTTTAGAATGACGTTCAAAGGTGCCCTCCATGAAATAAACATCCCGGTCTCGATGAGTTTTCGAACATCCTGACAAATGGTGGTTGCTGTTTTCCCAATTTGAACGTCCAACGGTGCAATCCATGAAAATGGCATCCCCATCCCCGCATTTTGTGGGTGCCTTTTTGGAGATCCCCGAAATGGCCGTGTTGCTCTTGGCTTTCTACTTCTTGCTTCTCATGGCCTTCCCGTGTCTTAGGAAGTGCCTGAAATTTCTGCAGATGCTCCGCGGCCTGCTCCGGAAGCAGCTGAGCAGCAGTTTGCGCCGGTCTTTTCATTGCAGGTTGCTCTACTGCTATTTTGTTGGTTCTTTCGACTTTAACTTTTTGGATTCCCCTCATATGTCCCTTTAACCAGCAAAAAGTCGAACTTGTTGCTGGGGGATCTACAGCATCCAAGGTTGGGCGTTCCTTTTTGTCCCAGCTAATATTTTGTAGAGTATATCTTTCGGGGGTTCCTCATCGTGCATGTCTGTTATCACAGACAGATGTACAGTATAGCATGTGATCCGATACTGCTGCATCTTTAGTTTTAGCTTATTCAATACAAACTGTGGGGTTTAAACCATCTAAAGGTGTTATTTCAAGATACGACATGTATTTATTGTGCAATATTAGATAGAGTATGCATATTGGTGCATGAACTTACAGAACTAGCATAAGCATTCAGTATTCTGAAAGGTAGAAATTTACAGGGTCCTTACACACATGAGCTTAAAGAAAAAGGGTATTTGGAAAAGGGGTATTTGGGAAGGTGGCACAGTAAGCTATAAACCACAGCAAAAAAACTCAGTTGGCTTACACATTGAAATCCTTCTAGCTTGGAAACAACGCGGTTAGTGCTAGTAACATATTTGATGTCAACCGATTTATTCCAAGCATATTAAATAGTGAGTTATCAAATGAACAGTTCATACAAAGTAGAAGGACAATTTTCATCAACACAAAAATGCAGAACATGCGAAAAGGTGCAGATTATGTTGGAGGGTGACAATAGAATCTATCCTCTCACAATGTATCATTTGTGGGATTTCTGCAGATGTTATACCTACTATACAACATATAAAAGAAACAACAAGATATGGTCTAGCTAATATCATTAGCTATTGTAGTATAGTAAAACCCATGACATCATTTGGTCTTGAGTTTCTGGCTGATCAATACTGTGAAGCGTAATTAATAGAACTTGTAAATCACGTGAAAAGTAAAGTAGGTATCGAAGTACATACTAAACCGAGAGTAAATCGATCACTCGAGAACCCAAAGACACCAATATACGTCATATATGTATAGGTGAAGCAGGGAGCAAAGCTAATAGTTAACAAGCAGATTACTGATCTAGCTTATTCAACATGTGAGTTATTAGATACGAAAGTTACAGATTCCCTACAATGTACAAGACATCATGACATAAATCCAAATATCACTGTTAGAACGAGTGCTGGTGAGGGGGAGGGGGGGTGTTGTATCCCCAGCAATCACACGAGGGTCCACCGTTTTAAGTTGGGGCAGACCAACATTTTTTCGGCTTGACGGGACAGTCCCAGCCAGAGCCAGAGGCGGTGGTTTTGATTCTTTGCAAGGTGTTGGGCAGATAGCTTCCTGGCTTCGAGCACCTATGTTTGGTTGTAACTGTGGATAACCTCCTTACTCGGTTTTCATTGACCCAGCTGTCGCTGATTAGGCATTGGTTCATGTTCGAAGGGCGCTTCTAATTTGCAAGGTATTCCTTGGTTCGAGGCTTTGCTCTAGTCCTGGCCAGTCCAAGTGCTCCATACGTTCGTGGTCGTGAGTTAGTTAATGCCGATTTGCACATTGCAAATTCCCCAGGTTTATGGGTGAGCGTATCTATTGGAACCAAAAGCTGGTAGAGACAGCTCTGTGCCAAGAATGCTTTACTTTGGCTGCCATTTGGTTGGGGCGCTCATAGAGTCATATGAAGCTCGGTCAACATATCCTGTGCTCCGTTGTCCATTTGGAAGAGTCACGAGTGAACCTCATGGGAAGTTTCCCAGAAGAACCACAGGACTCATCACTTCCATGTCCTGTACGGGCCCCTCTGGTCTTGGCTGCTATTCACTTGCAACTTGCTTGAACGCTTACATTTTCCCATTGTCCGATACGTCTTGTGGGGGCAGATGGAAGCATCCAGCTGGGGTTACCCCTGTTGGTTCTCTGTGCTATTTTATGCATCAGGAGTCAGCAAACCAGGTTACTTGGGGTGAGGCGTGTGCTGCGTTTGATCTCTATACTTCCATTCCTCCGTTGTATTCCTATGATTTTCACCCCCGGGGCGTAGACTACCCTCAGTATCTACCATGTTTTCTCTTTTGGACTGGCAGTCCATGGTCCAGCGGGAGTCTCACTGTGGCAGTGCACAGGCAAAATGTTAGACGCAAGTTCCACGAGCATCTCCATGATTCTCTTGGAAGATGTCCAAGAATTCTTGGAAGCTTTAGACCATGGGGTCTCCAACACTACACGGCTCACCCCATGTTTCAGCAGAGACTCCGGGTAGGACAATCTTCTGGACAGCAGCTTAGACTCCCAAAATCGGCGAATCACTGAGGCAAGGTGTGCAGGTGATCGGCCCCGTGGGCCATCGGGTGCCGATTCTGCGGCTCGCCAGAGCCGACGCCGGCCATTGTCTCAGGGCTTGGAGTTGAAGTCATCGGCTTCTGTTCTTCACCATCGCCTTCACAAGGTGATTTAGAGCATCTGGAAAGGCAGATGGCTTGGTAAGGCAGGTGGCTGTTGGGCGTTGGAAGGAAATTTGGTTTTCTGAATGAGGGCCGCATTCGCCGCCAAAGCTGATCCGGAGAATCTCAACAAAAGCGGTCACAGCTTCAATCCCCGCCGGAGGCGTTTCTTCAACTGGCCCAGGGGTTAGATCCACGGGTGTGGTTCTTTTTCTTGGTGGTTAAAAAGTGAATTCAAAGAGACAACGGCCAGGGAGACCCCTCATTTCGATGGGTTTTGGCGGAACATGTGGGTCATGGCCATTGCTACCAACAACTACTTGGCCAAACACCCAAGCCACAACCAACACCTGGGGAAGTGAATCTTAGCAAGGGAGAAATCCCAACCGTTAATGGGTTCGCCCTCTTATGCGCTGTTCATTCTTAGCATTCTGAGTAGACTCCTTTGCCATGTATTGATTGTGACTCATTTTCAAGGACTCCTAAAGATCCTTTGACCAATCTTTGAGTCACATATTGTGTTTACGACGTCGACTCGTGTTATGTCAAGGGTGCCATTTTTGGTTTGAGGTTGGTTTAAAGAGAACCAAAAGGAAGACCTATCCAGTACCCATTTGGGTGTGTCTTTTTGAAGGGGTACCCCTTTTTTGGTGGATTTGAACGGAAACCAAAAAGCAAAAACTTGCTGGATGTAACTGGGGACCCCTAAAACGAGAAGACAGACCAGCAGCTCAACACCTCAACACCCCAACAGTCAAGCAAACCAACCGTCAAACCAGCCAACAGCAACCCAACAGCCCAAGACCCATCCTCGCTTCGAGGAAGCTGCAGGAAACCATGTCTGTTTTTTTGGTAAAAACTTGAACGCACACCAAAAGTACCACTTGTTGGATTTCAATGGGGACCCCTAAACAGGGAAAAAACCGACCCATCTACCTCGCGAGGAAGCTGCAGCTGAATGGCTTGGACTGCGACTTGAGCTGCGGCAACCTGCTGCCGCTGCTCAACACCCAGCTGCTGCGCCTCTACGCGGAGCTGATGCCGCAGATGGCCGTGCTGTGCCCGAGCCTCGGGCGCGCCAAGCGCTTGGGCCGCCATCAAGAAAACCCATGGCGGGGTCTGAACGTGGCTGTTCGGGCGGAGATCTGACTTGCATGTGGTGGGGAAAACGTTGTCAACCAGCTTAAAACCTTGAAGTGTGTGAGACTTTGACGGAATTGTGAAGTATGCCTCACGCTTGTGACTTCCATTTATTCAAGAGTATTTTTCCCCTTGTTGGTTTCAAAAGGAATTTATCACTACTGGAAATATGTTCCCTTTTTTTTCCGGCGGTCTAAACCAAACGGAAGGTGAAGAAAAGTAAGTTGTGCTCTTTGCCCGTGCCAAAACACACACGGGTGTGGGGCCATGAAGCTTCAGGTTTGGGTCCTCCTTTCAGATCTCACTGCCTGAGCTCATGGACTTTCATTTTGGGGGCAGACCATTCTAGTGGCCAACGAAAAGTTTGTGCGTTTTCTGGGCCATCCACTCAGAGAGTGAGACATTGGTGGGTTTCTCAACTTGCACACATGTTATGAAGATGTTACAGGTGGCATTGTCAAATCACTCTTATTACTTGTTAGGATGGTAAGGGATCTCTTAAATGGAGATTTAGACAATCATGATGAAGCTTCTTGTGAAGGGGAAGCACGACCATGTCCACATGAAGTGTTGCCCATGGCACACGCGTCGCCAGTGCTCTCCCGCAGTCTGCAAACTGAGGGCGCCCCGTTCTGTGTGCGAAACATTCAGGTATATTGAGGTAGACTTGAAAATGCGGGGTTTGTTGGTTTCGCAGGGGAACCTTTGGGTGTAAGTCTGCGTTATTGTCCAAAACATTTGTTCGTTTATTATTAAAAAAAAAAAAAAAACGGAAATAAACAAATACAAAAATCAACGGCACATGCAATCTGGGCAAAAGCGATGTCAGGCATCTCGGTGAAGCGCTGGGCCAAGACACAGGGCATCGGCTCCGTGATGACTGGCGGCCTCTCCTCCTACGCCTGGACTCTCATGGTGGCTCTACTGCTATTTGGTTGGATCTTTAGACTTTAACTTTTTGGATCCCCCTCATATTTTCTTTTAACCAGCAAAAGGTTTTACTTTTTGCTGGGGGATCTACAGCACCCAAGGTGGGCCCAGCTTTACAGGGAACCAGGATGATAGGATGATGCGGGTGTATCGTTGGAGGGCCTCCCAGTTTAGGGGTTAGTTTGAAGGGAAACCAAAGGGGAGACTACTTTTTTGGGGCTTCTACAAGGACAAACTCATGCGTACACAAGCATTGTTTGGATGCGAAATAGCAAGCTGTTAATTTTGCCGGGACACTAGGGGATGAATATTGTTTGATGTCTGCAGAGCAGTACCCTTTCGGTCCAACTCTTTCCCCAGGTGGATTTATATTGTCTGGATTCATGGGGGTGATTCACAGCAACCGCACTGATAGTTTTGCTTGCCGCCTTACCCCTGATGAAGGTTCTTTCGCCGGAAGGCCTTTGTTTTCGGGTGCATCATCGTAGTTGACCCTGAAATGTCCCTTTCCTTTGGGTTTCAGGTTTGCCTTGTTGGGGTCAAGACCTCATTGGTGAAATGTGCCGGAAATTCAACAGCGGCCACCCATTGTCTGGGTTCCAGCTTGAGGTCCCGTTAAAAGGTGGTTGTAAACCTTACCTTTCGAACAGCACATGTCAATCAAGTTTGCTTTTGGTGGGGTGATGTTGAAAGCTAAGGCACTTGCATGTATTTTCGGATAGACGGTTGCCAATGGCGCCATTTGTGGTGAAAAGGATGACATTGGGCACACACTACAGAAAATGCGTCGCTACGTCAAAGTTCAACGTCAGTTGATGAGTCAAATAATATTGACCGTGGCCTATTTCAAGATTGTGGACCCCCCCCAGCCAGAAACAAATCAGAGAAAGCCACTTGATTTCCTTGTGGTTACCCTTTCAATCCACCCCAAAAGGGTACCGAGCCTCAAAACCGAACCGTAGCTAGCGACCTAACCCTCCCAGCTTCGGTTCAAATTGTCTAGCTTCAGATCATCTTATTGGTGACACGAGACTTTTCCAGAGACTTGTTCTGACCCAGTTGATCAGTGCACTCCACCAATTTATGCTTGTGTATGTCGGGTTCCCACCCAAAATGGAATAATCACCCCAAATTGTGCAGCCACCTTTAAAGGTTCTGTACATTTAGGGCTAACAACGAGAAAAAGGAGTTCTCAGAACCTAGGTCCCCCAGTAGTGCCCTTTTACCCCTTTTTGAGGGAGGGTTCCCCTAAAGATAGACTACAGAGCAAAGTTGGTAGCCTTATTCTAACCACTCTACTGGAGGACTTAGGAACCATTCCAACTGGGATCTCAGCCAGGAAGTGAGTGAGTGAGTCAGGTGGTGTACTACCTCCAGGTGACTCACAGCTTGGACTCTCTGCACCAGCTCTGCGAAGAGGAGGCTTCGCTTCTGCAACCAGACCCAAGGGATGGATGGATGCGTGGCGCTTTCCCGACAGGTTTGGCTCTGGGATGAACATAGGGTCCTTTTTGGGTTAGTTTGAATAGAAATGGATGGCACTGGTTTAGGTGGATTTGATTCCATATACCATCGCCATCTATTTTAGCTATGGGTATGAACCTATCTGGGGGGGGGAGGTTGGGGATTACTGTCCGTGTCCCCAACCCACCCCAGAGCGGGCAGCCACCAGACCAGCCGCTACCGTCTGTTCAAAGGCTTCCGAGAGTTTGGACACGAATGTAAGGTAACCTTGGCAAACCAACGGGAAAGCAACATGTAAGATAGGAGGAACTACCATACCAATTGGGTGAGTTTCGCCCTGAACTGGGCAACTTGGGTTCTTTGGCTATCGCCAGCCCACCTGATCACGGGCTCAGCCAGACTAAGAAGCAGCTCAAAAGACAGCCACCAAAGGGGCGTCCCTTTTTCTTACCAACTGAGTCCCCCAGTAGCGCCCTTTCTCACCCCTTTTTTGGGGAGGGTTCCCCTACTAAAATAGACTACAGAAAAAAGAGCTACCTTTATTCTAACCTCTCTACTGGAGGACCTAGACAAGTAGGACACCTGTTATCCCAGCCTCAAACTCGAGGTTCTACGCGGAAGACTTCGGCTGGCAGAATGAGCTCGTCTCCGTGCGTCGCGGGTGTTTTTCTGTCCGAGAGGAGTCGATAGTGACATGGCGCGACGGTCTCATCAACATCGAAGACCCCGTTGAGATCACGAGGAGTGGTTTGTACCTCCAATCAAATCCCGCAATAACCCCAACAGCGCTGCTGCTGTTTATATGTTTCTCCCCAGAAGGGGTGAAAAGGATACAAATCTCGGTACAAACAGGGGAGAGAATGTCTAAATCGATTTGAGACCTGCTGTTATTCATAGACATTGCAGACCCCCCCCCCGGTTTGAAAAAGAAAAACCTGGACCTTGCGGAGATCAGGACACCCGGTGTGCCCGATCTCCATGGTTTCCTTGTCGTGCGATGTTTGAAGGAGAAGTATGGCCATGAATCTCAACAGGAAACAACTCAAAAGTGATTGGTGGGCATGAATCCCCACCTAAATCATGTCCACCCAAGAGTCCCTTATTAAAATTCATGCCATGGATCCAAAACCAGGCGACCCTCAAGAAACCCGCAGGAACTTGAACTTTGCCCTCAGCGATCGCACCCCACACCAGCTGCCGGATGCCTTCTGGGCTGCAGGCGAACGCTTGGACCGCGGAGGTTTGGAGGCGAGGCCCTGAGGACCCCACGACTTGCTGATCAGCAGGAAGCTTTCGGGAGGTACCCGCTACAAACCATCTTGTGGCCAGATCGCCCCAAAACCGTTGATTCCCCAGTGAGTAATTGCCAGCAAGGCAAACTACCCCATCGCAAAATGTGGACAGGCCGTTGCCTGGCCTTCTCGACGCCGAACCCTCAACCCTTGGGCCGTTTTGGGTAGTAGGGTCCCTGAGACGCTGGGAAAAGGCCATTCTTGTGGCTCGACTGGATCCGATATGTGAACTGTGGATGGATTCACTTAAGCTACCACTTCTGGGCGGGTGTGTGTGTGTGTTGCCTTTGACACATTCCGCAGCCAGAGCAATGGATATCATCATCGCCATCTCTGGGGGATGCAATTATTGTTTCAGGGTGCCTTTCAGCGAAACAAAACTGGCGCAGAGTGTTGCACGCGGCGACAAGCAAACGCCTCGTGATTTTGCGGCTTAGCTCGTCACAGCAAGCAACCAGAGGACACTAATTATCCATGGTAAGACCTAGAGGTACAAGCCCTACTTACCTACTGTGGTGGCTTGCCAGTATTTGTGAGCTTAAAGGGGCAGGGAGTGGCTACTAACCATGATTAAAACCCGTAAGTCCTATTTTCCGTGGCTGATTTGGCCATAGTTACTATCCACAGACCAAGTAGCATTACCCAGCACCAAGTCCATACTTGGTTTTCTCCCTGCGTAACCTGTATCTTAGTATCTCCCGCAGGTTTATGGTTAACCTTAAAGGGTTTGTTTACAGGAACATCTACAGAAAATGCCCCAAAGCATAGATGTTCCTGTAACCCAACCCTTGGATAACCACGTCACCCCATGTACCTTGGCCCCAGAGGCCCTGTTGGAACTCCCTGTGCCCGCGGCGGGCGGCCGCTTCAGCTTGCCCTTCCGGCGCCTGCCGTTCCACCTGCGCCCGGCCACGCTGCGGAAGCTCCGGGCGCAGCTCGAGGCCGAGGCCACGGAGGTCACGAGGAAGGCGGCAGGCACCACGAACCGAAGCTGACCTGAGTTGGGTGCGGGTCAAAATGAAGCCAGGATATGGACCGCAGGTTTTAGTCCATGTCTTCCAAATTTCCCAGGGCAAGCATGTTGGGGTTACCCTGTTTTTGACCCACACCCAGTTGGCAAAACTTGCGGAGTTTTTTTGGTGGCGGGTGGATTCTTTGCTTCTCTTTTTGGAAGGAGCTGGAAAAAAAAGTGTTTTTTTGCTTGTGTCGAAAGCTCGAAACTAGCTCTTGGGCGGTCAGCTCTGGTCAGGAAGGCGGCAACGAAGCGCGCGGCGGAAGGCCGCGGAGGAAAACGGATGCGGCAGGGGGTCGTCGGCGCGAGCTCAAGAGCATCGCAGTTGGCACCTCGGGCGGTGCCCCGCGCCGCCGCGCCCCGCTTTTCTCGCCAGGAGTTCCTGAAGTCGAAGAAGAACGACGAGGGCCGGGAGGCGGGGCCTGTGAGGTCTTTGCATTTTGCCAAGGGATGTTAGGACTTCAACTTTCTGCCAACTAATGCTTTTTTTTTTTTAACACCGCTAAAAGTCAAACTTTTAGCAGGGGAGCAGAAAGCAACCGAGAGGTGTTGCTTCACTTTTGGTTTGTTACTTATAGTGAGTATCAATCAGTTAGCACACGGCATTCCAACGTTGAGTGCTAACTGTTTGGGCGCCTGCGCAGCGTTTTTTCCCAAGCCGTGGTTGAGGCCCAACAGTTAGCACTCCAACTAGTCTGGCAGTCGGATTGTTCAAGGTCTTTGAAATAAGGCTTGGCATCAAAATAGCTTTACATGGGCATTGGAAGGAAGGACGGAAGGAAGCACGGAAGCGAAGGAAGCGAAGGAAGCGGAAGAAGCAAAGGAAGCAAAGGAAAGGAAGGAAGGAAGGAAGGAAGCAAGCAAGCAAGCAAGCAAGGAAGCAAGGAAGCAAGGAAGCAAGGAAGCAAGGAAGCAAGGAAGCAAGGAAGCAAGAAGCAAGGAAGCAAGGAAGCAAGGAAGCAAGGAAGCAAGGAAGCAAGGAAGCAAGGGAAGCAAGGGAAGCAAGGGAAGCAAAGGAAGCAAAGGAAGCAAAGGAAGCAAAGGAAGCAAAGGAAGCAAAGGAAGCAAAGGAAGGAAGGAAGGAAGGAAGGCAGGCAGGACGAGACTCAGAGCTGCGCAGGGTGCTGCAGAGTTGCGCAGGGTGCTGTTGCAGGGTGCCATGCCAGAATCATCATTACTTCGAAACATCCTGGGGGGGGGGGTGCCGCAGTTGCGCCGATGGATGCACCTAAGGGAGAAGCGCGCCCTTCGCCGAATAATGGGGGTGCATGCCACGCACTAAAACTGCTGCGTTGCCATTCCAGTGAGGGGCAAAGACTGTAGTTAGGAGGAGCGCATTGGCAAGCGTGATGATTCAAAGAGTCCTGGCTGACACCAGCTGAGAAGGCGCTAGGGTCTGGCGTGTGCTAACTGTAAGTCAGACGTTTGGCCGGGGTCCCGAGCGTGTCTGCTTGGCAAAAACTGTAGGAGAAGCGCGTTGGCAAGCGTGATGCGAACACTCCTGGCTGACACGGCCAAAGGAGGCGCAAGCGGGTCTGGCGTGTGCTAACTGTATGGCTTCGGCAAGAGGGTCTGACGCCTTTGCGTGGCACCCGTGCTCGCCCCAAGTGGGATCCCGAGCGGGCCAGCGAGCCTGGCCGTGTTGGTCCTTTCAGCCGCCTGCGAGTTGCATCCATAGTAGTTGGCCCGAGTGGTCCTTATCTGCGCCTTGGCGCGGCACACGTGTTTGGCCGGAGCGCGGTCCCGACTGTGTCTGCTTTTGGTCCTCACCAGCTCCTTTGCGCAGCGTCTGTGCTCGGCCCGAGCAGGATCCCAAGCCTCTCTGCGGTGCAAAACTTCGAGCGTGCCTGTGTGCTTTCAAGAGTAAAGCCAGAGCACGGTGTTTTTAAACAGGATGATGGACTTGTCTTTTCTTGCGGGTAAAGCTTCCACACGGTGTCCTAGCCCAGCTTGAGTTCGGGACGGTAATGCGTTTGCGTTTGCGTGCAACATGATGCAACACTCGGACAAAGCAAGCTTCTTCATAATGTCAGTCGTTTACTACGGGCGCGCTTTCAAGTCGCAGGAGGCATTGCTTTAGCTGTGGAGAAGCAGGCTTTTAGGGGCGCAGTTGGTCTGGCATGTGCTAACTGTATGGCTTACGCAAGAGTGACGCCTTTGCGTGGCATCCGCGTTTGCCCCGAGCGGGATCCCGAGCGGGAACCCGAGCGTGGCTTCGCTTGCCTTTGCAAGGCCCGAGCGGGATCCCGAGCGGGCTAGCGAGCCTGGCCGCTTTGGTCCTTGCAGGCGCCTGCGCGTTGCATTGCACTCCCGAGCGTGACGGTGTTGGTCCTTATCTGCGCCTTGGCACGGCGCACGTGTTTGGCCCGAGCGGGATCCCGAGCGTGTCTGCTTTTGTCCTTACCAGCGCCTTTGCCCGGCATCTGTGCTCGGCCCGAGCGGGATCCCAAGACTGTTTGCGGGCGCGGCCCCGGCAAAACTTTGAGCGTATTTGTGGGCTTTGAAGAGTAAAATCAGAGCACGGTGCTTTGTCTTTTTCTTGCGGGTAAAGCTTTTACACGGGCCCAACTGTCCGCTGCGATACTGCGTTTGCGTTTGCATGCAACATGATGCAACACTCGGACAACGCGAGCTTCTTGATGATGTCGTTGATTTTTGCTACGGGCGTCCTTTCAAGTCGCAAGAAGCATTGCTTTAGGGGTGGAGTTGCCAGGCTTTTATAGGGGCCCGTTGTGTGAATCCCAAAGCCAAATGCAATTGTCAAGGCAGCTATTGCAGTAGAGAAGCGGGTTGGCAAGCGTAATGCGAAGAGTCCTGGCTGACACGGCCAATCGAGGCGCAAGAGAATCTGGCGTGTGCTAACAGTATGGCTTCCGCAAGTGACACCTTTGCGTGGCAGCCCCGAGCGGGATCCCGAGCGGGATCCTGAGCGTGGCTTGCCTTTGCTTTTTCCTTGCGTGGCACCCGTGCTCGGCCCGAGCGGGATCCCGAGCGGGCAAGCAAGCCTGGCCGCTTTGGTCCTTGCAGGCGCCTGCGCGTTGCATCCATAGCTGGCCCGAGTGGACTCCCGAGCGTGACGGTGTTGGTCCTTATCTGCGCTTGGCACGGGTTTGGCCCGAGCGGGATCCCGAGCGTGTCTGCTTTGGTCCTTACCAGCGCCTTTGTGCGGCATCTGTGCTCGGCCCGAGCGAGATCCCAAGCCTGTTGGGGCGGCCCCGGCAAAACTTCGAGCGTATTTGTGGGCTTCGAAGAGTAAAATCAGAGCATGGTGCTTCTTCAGGATTATGCACTTGTCGTTTTCTTGGGGGTAAAGCTCTTACACAGGCCCAACTGTCCGCTGCGATAATGCGTTTGCGTTTGGACGCAACATGATGCAACACTCGGACAACGCGGGCTTCTTGATGATGTCGTTGATGTTTGCTACGGGCGTGCTTTTAAGTCGCAAGAAGCATTGCTTTAGGGGTGGAGTTGCCAGGCTTTTATAGGGGCCCGTTGTTTGTGAATCCCAAAGCCAAAGTCAATTGTCAAGACAGCTATTGCAGTAGAGAAGCGGGTTGGCAGGCGTGATGCAAAGAGCCCGCTTCCGCAAGAGGGTCTGCCTTTGCGTGGCATCCGCGCTCGCCCCGGAAATCCCGAGCGCGGCATCCGTGCTCGGCCCGAGCGGGATCCCGAGCGGGCTAGCGAGCCTGGCCGTTTTGGTCCTTTCAGCCGCCTGCGCGTTACCAGCGCCTTGCGGGGCGTCTGTGCTCGGCCCGGGCGGGGCCTCAAGCCTGTTTGCGGGCGCGGCCCCGGCAAAACTTCGAGCGTATTTGTGGGCTTTCAAGAGTGAAACCAGAGCACGGTGTTTCTTCAGGATTATGGACTTGTCGTTTTCTTGCTGGTAAGGCTGTTACACAGTGTCCTAGCCCAGCTTGAGTTCGGGACTTGATGGCCCAACTGTTCCGCTACGATAATGCATTTGCATTTGGATGCAACATGGTGCAACACTCCGACAATGCGAGCTTCTTGATAATGTCGTGTATTTTTTGCATATGTTTGCTACGGGCGCCCTTTCAAGTCGCGGGAAGCATTGCTTTAGGGGTGGAGTTGTCAGGCTTTTAGGGGTGGAGTTAAGGCTGCCCGTTCTTTGTATTTCCGAAAGCCGAATTCACTTATCAAGACAGCTGGGCTGCCGTTGCAGGAAACGGCGAGTACTGTAGGAGAAGCGCGTTGGCAAGCGTAATGCGAAGAGTCCTGGCTGACACGGCCAAACGAGGCGCAAGAGAATCTGGCGTGTGCTAACTGTATGGCTTCCGCAAGTGACACCTTTGCGTGGCAGCCCCGAGCGGGATCCCGAGCGGGATCCTGAGCGTGGCTTGCCTTTGCTTTTTCCTTGCGTGGCACCCGTGCTCGGCCCGAGCGGGATCCCGAGCGGGCAAGCGAGCCTGGCCGCTTTGGTCCTTGCAGGCGCCTGCGCGTTGCATCCATAGCTGGCCCGAGTGGACTCCCCAGCGTGACGGTGTTGGTCCTTATCTGCGCCTTGGCACGGGTTTGGCCCGAGCGGGATCCCAAGCCTGTTGGCGCGGCCCCGGCAAAACTTCGAGCGTATTTGTGGGCTTTGAAGAGTAAAATCAGAGCATGGTGCTTCTTCAGGATTATGGACTTGTCGTTTTCTTGCGGGTAAAGCTTTTACACAGGCCCAACTGTCCGCTGCGATAATGCGTTTGCGTTTGGATGCAACATGATGCAACACTCGGACAACGCGAGCTTCTTGATGATGTCGTTGATGTTTGCTACGGGCGTCCTTTCAAGTCGCAAGAAGCATTGCTTTAGGGGTGGAGTTGCCAGGCTTTTATAGGGGCCCGTTGTTTGTGAATCCCAAAGCCAAAGTCAATTGTCAAGACAGCTATTGCTATTGTGATGCAAAGAGCCCTGGCTGACACGGCCAAACGAGGCGCAAGAGGGTCTGGCGTGTGCTAACAGTATGGCTTCCGCAAGAGGGTCTGCCTTTGCGTGGCATCCGCGCTCGCCCCGGAAATCCCGAGCGGTGCTTCGCGCGGCATCCGTGCTCGGCCCGAGCGGGATCCCGAGCGGGCTAGCGAGCCTGGCCGTTTTGGTCCTTTCAGCCGCCTGCGCGTTACCAGCGCCTTGCGCGGCGTCTGTGCTCGGCCCCGGGGCCTCAAGCCTGTTTGCGGGCGGCCCCGGCAAAACTTCGAGCGTATTTGTGGGCTTTCAAGAGTGAAACCAGAGCACGGTGTTTCTTCAGGATTATGGACTTGTCGTTTTCTTGCTGGTAAGGCTGTTACACAGTGTCCTAGCCCAGCTTGAGTTCGGGACTTGATGGCCCAACTGTTCCGCTACGATAATGCATTTGCATTTGGATGCAACATGGTGCAACACTCCGACAATGCGAGCTTCTTGATAATGTTGTTTATT